ACTCAAGTATTTCTAATTGTGCCAACAATTCAGGCGGAACAGGAGCTTCAAGTGGTTGTAAATTTGAAGGTGTACTAAGTTGCATCTTTTATTCTTAAAAATTCTAAAAATTTTAAATTAAAGATAAAAGTTAAAGATAAATATGTCCAAATAAGTTACAAATTTTTTAAGTTAAATATAATGCAAAATTGTTTTAAAAAAGAATATTTCGGACAAAGACAATTAAGTCAAGACGACTGTTGATTTCCTTGTTAAGGATAAAGAAACAATTATCCGGGGCTTTCAAATGACGGAAAAGCCCGTTTGGGAATAGCCGTTTGAGACTCAACTGTCGAGATCAATTGTCTTCTACCCTGAATATGTATTATTTAAAAATTACGAGAAATATTGGTAAAATTCATGGGAGAATCCATCATACATTCATTAGGAGTAAGATCAGTTCATTATTAAATTCTAATCAGAATTTTGGTATCATATAAAAGCTATAAATAAGTGATGACTTTAAAATCCACTCATTACTGCGAATTCACTGGCCGGACGATCTTCTCACGTTTAGATTGTATTTCTTCAACGATGAGTTCCAGCAAAGCAAGAGGTGAGGGTGATGGACGATTCTCTCTTCATGATGATATTGCTTCTGAGCAAGATCGTAATGAAGCTACAAAGGTGAGAAATCATCTTGTTTTTAACCGATCATAACTTTTTTTTTCATTTTCTTGCAGACAGTTCTCGATGCTCATCGTCGACTCACAAGTGACAGGCCTTCGATCGATACCTACCTCCAATGCCAACCCGGTCAGAACCGCTATCCAGCCATTGCTTGCTATGACAGCACTCGCTTCCAATACAAAAATGACCCAACCAAATTCTTCCACGCAAATTGGGTAGATGGGATAAGAACTCCAAGTTTGTCTATCGTTCTTTAACTTTGATATAAAAATTGATTTGAAGGAGCCTATCTTCTTGCAACTGGGCCGCATGATGAGGATACTTGTCGAGACTTCTGGCGGATGGTAATCGAAGCTCGTCCATATGCTATTGTTCTTATGAATGAGGTGAATAACCCGACTGCCTTCTACAAACGATTCTGGCCGAGTAAGAGTTGCAAATATGAATTCGAAAAGGATGGAGCTCGTTGGATTAAGGTGCAAAATGAAGGAGTGACGTCTGAAGTAAACAAATTATGCCAAAAATAAACTTCAAAATTCAATTTAAGGCTCCCGACTCTGCATTCACCCACTTCACCTTTACGGTCACCGACTGCAAAAATGACCATGCAATCAAACCAGCTGTCTATCAAATGATTGATGATGATTCCCCTGTGCCTGCATACTTCCCTCTTCTTCGGAGTGAGGTGATTTTTAAACATTAAAGTATTTAAAGTTTCTCTTTTCTTATTTTAAGTTGTTGGAACTGGCTGAAAATATCTTCACCCGTAAAAAAGGCAAAACACATTTGAAAAGAAAAGTTTTGCTTGTATGTGGTGACGGTATAACCAAAAATGGAAATTTTGCGGTTTTCGATATTGTCATGGATCGTGCGGCAACTCATGAACGAGTAAATAAATTAATTATTATCTTAAAAATTATTTTTGATTTTTTAAAGGTTGGACTCAAAGAGACGGCAAGGATTGTTATGGATCAACGTTGGGGAACTGTTGGTAGCTCAGACGAATATAAACTTCTGCACGCGATGATAAAGGCTCAGATTCAGCCATTGTTGCAAAGGGCCCGTCGTTCGAATGCTAGTTCACAGGACTAAATATAAAGAAGAAAGTACTTGAAGATGTAAATTTAGGATATTTTCTGTATATATAATGGATATTTTCTCTAAATGTACATATATTATTGTAAACTTGTCTGAATTTGCTTTCTTTTTCTACTTCTATAAATAAACTAACTTATTTTGTAAATCGGATGGATTGTTTACTTTTTTTATTTTTAATGATCTAGTAAGGATTGGTTAAATATTTAGAATATTTAAAAAATAATAATTCTAAACATGCATTTTAAGCCATTAAATATTTTTAATTCAGAATGAAAAAATAGAATATTCATTTTTAAAAGTATTACAGAAAAAAATTTATTTTAAAACGTTTAGAAATCCTTTCACTCCATATTTATGGATAGCAGTGTCAGCGAGTTTACATAAACAGTAAAATTTTGAATTATTAACATAAGTAAAAATAATTTTTTAAATAAAATACATGTATCCTAACATATGTACAAAATGAAAATCTTTTTCAAAAATTTTGCTGAATGCTTTTTGATCCCTTAGTTGAATATTAATAAAAAATTCATAAAACGTTATCGAATTTTTAATTTACAATTATAAATTTAAAATATAAAAAAGTGTTAAAAAGAATTTCCAATTTATTAAAATATTTTTACAAAAAATTTAAAAAATGGTTAAAATTATCCAATTTTTTATATTTTTTATTGGCTTTATTTTATTTTTTCAGAAAGAAATGTTGAGTTTTGAAGGAGAATTAGATGTCTGTTTTGAAATATGTATATTTCATTATTTTTAAAATTATTTTAGTGGACTCAACGTTCTCGTCGAAGTCCTAATCCAATACTTGATCAACTTGATTGGTATAATTTGAAAAATAATGAAAATAAAAATGAAACTAAATAATTACTTAATATATTACTTAAATAATTATTGTACGATTTGAGTACAGAATAAAAGAATATTTCTTGATGCCTCACTAAATATTTTAAAATTGTCTATAGAAAAACTAGGGCTCTTGTTCTTAATCCTAATGTTTGATGTGATTAATAGTGCCTCTTAAATTAAATAGATTCTAAAGTGTGTTTTATGTATAAATAATAATATTTTCTAAAATTTTATCCAGGAAAACAAAAATACTAAACTTTTTTTTAAAAAACAAACAGATTTCCACAATTCTACATAGAATTCAAAGTAAAATATATTTTTCCAATTTTATTTAAATATTCTCACATTTTGCGGACAGATGTTCGATAATTTGCATTGTGTCTCCCTCCATGATGCCCAAAATCTTCACTTTGCCGTCTTTTGAATTTATTTCCACAACAGTCTCCACTACCAATTTTAATTCCATTTTCGGAGAATTTAGGCATAAGTCTTAATTCGCTATGCCCGTGAGCAAAAAGACAAGAACCTCCATACTTACATTCTCCAAAATGAACGAAAGAATTGCAAAGTGTAGTTTTGTACTAAAAGACAAAAATTTATTTTTAATTAAAAAACCATAATCTACCCAAAAATTTTTGGTAAATTTACATACTCTTTTTTAGTCTTAAAATTTATCTTTCCCTTTCATGTCAAACAAAAAGGATGAAAGAGGAATTAAAAAGAAAATCATGGTCAATAGGATAATTTAAAAATTCATTTGGCCAATTAAATGGATTAAACGGCTAGTTAATTCTGGATTAAATGGCTTTGGTAAAGGCGTTAGTTTATTCTACATACCCAGCTTTTAAACCACCAAAAATAAATTTAAAAAATACGAAAAAGAACCATAAAATAATTAAAATTCAGACCTTTTCATTTATTTGTGTCGTAATTTGCACATTAGCAGAAGACTGTTGTTGAGGCTGAATTGAAGTTTGATGGTTATTTTGAGTAGTATTTTGATTATTATTTTGTTGTCGTTGCTGGTGGTGTGTAGGCTCTGTTGACTTGACTTTATTTACTTGTTGATTAATGACATTCTTTGGTAGACTATTAATAAATTGATCTAAAGGAATAGATGTTGGGGCGGTTGGAAGAATTAATTCAAGGCGATCTGGAAAGAAAAAATTATTTTTAAAAAATTAAAAAAATAAAACTTGTCCAGCCAGCACTGAAATATGCCTCAATAAATGCAAGTTTTTGACGATCGTCCATAAATTCAACAATGCTTAAATTTGCTGTAATTTATCAAAATAATTTAATTTTTAAAAGTAAAAAATATTATTTGTGTAAAATGAACAAAAAGTTAAACGATAAAATTGTATATATTTTTTATTTAAAATTAATTAAATTAGACAAAATATGGCAATTAAAATACTATTAACAATAAGTGAATAATTTAGAGAGTATCATTGACAAGATGACAAAGGCAAAAATTAAGTAAATGTAAGGGAGATTAGAAATAATATATAACTAGAAAATATTTTTACTTTAATTTTTAAATTGTTTCCAAAAAAATTTCTAGCTATATTTATTTATTATATTAAATTCACAGAATAAATTAGAGAAAAATATTATATTGGGAGATTAGAGAATTATTAGAATGAAAGACAATTTTGTAAAATGAGCAAAATATAACGAAACTTCACAGAAAAATAAATTAAAATTAATTTCTTAAATCTCAAATAATTTGATGAAGATGTGTGAGAAATAATTCGGCAATTTGACGATTAGCTTCTAATGCATTTTTTAAATTGAAAAAGTCCATTTCGTCTACTTTAAAAATAATTATAAAAAAAATTTAAAAAATAAAAAACAAACAATTAATTGGCCCGTTTTCTGCTCCTCCCAAATGCCCTCCAAATGTTTCAATTGTTAAATTGTTTGTTGTAGAAATAGCCTCTCTCAATACAGTCAGACAAGTAGAAGGTGAACATTTTGTTGTTAATGCAAAAAGAGTGTCTCTAAGAGTAACATTTGTATTAAAACCCAACAAAATACTAGCCTAAAAATATTTTTAGAAATTTAATTAAAAACTTCAAAAGAAAACCTCAATACAACTAAACAAAGTATTTCCGGCCTCTGCAGGATCCCCGTGTAATGCTCGAATGCAGATGGCAATTTTTGCAAGGCCAGGTGCCAAAATAAGCAATGAAGCAAAATTTCGTAAAACCCAAGGCTCTGGATAAGCTTTAAAAATAAATTTAAAATCAAAAATATTAAAATAAATAAACTAGTCAATAATTCCAGAAAATTAAACAATTCCAATTCATTCCAACGCAATTCCTTCATATCCAGTGACTTTGTAAATAGAAGCTGTTCTACAAGTTTAGGTAATTCTCCCAGGTAGGTTTGCGCACTTTGTCGATCAAATATTGGGTCAGCAACAATTCGTTGATAATTAACAAATTCTAAAAACAAAAAATAAAACTGATTTATAAAGAAGCAAGCCAATTAAAGTTCAACACCCGCGGATACGGGTCTAGCAGCAAATATCAAAACATATTTTAAGTCAAACATACCCATTGGTTGTAACTTTCCATCATTCTCCTGATCCAAGCGTGTAGTTGTTGGAGCAGCCAACAAAAGCATTAAACGATATTTGTGTTCACCATTTTCCCCAAATAAATGAAGAATAGCCGAAAGGCGAAAACCAACTTGTTGAATAACATTAGAGGAGTTATCATTAGTTGAATATGAACACTCATTTAAAAAAAGCGCCAAAATTACTCGCCGCAAAGCCATTTCTTCAACTTCATTATTTTTCTTGGACCTGAAGAAATTGCGAACTCGAGTTAATAGACCGGTAGACTCGGCAAACATAATCATAAAAGAAATAAAATGCGATTGAGACCAATCAAAAGAAATCTAGTTTAATAAATTAAAACTTAAATTTAAAAAATCTAACCTTCGTTATCAATTTACCCCAATAATCTTTGTCATGATATTTGTCGTAGGAATCAATTTTTTGATAGAGTTGAATAATAAAATTTGAACAACTAATAGCATTAGGAGCTTTTCCTCTCAATAAACAGCATAGCCGGATCAAACGAGCTGCAAAAGTACAAAATTTAATTGCAAGTTAATTCATCCTCGAGTTCCCATAAATACAAAAGTACCCCAACAACGTATTTAGAATATAAGAAGGAAAGGAGCCATCAACAATTTAAAATACCTACCAAAATCATTTGGAGGAAAATCAGAATTGGACTCCTTGGCTGATGAAGAAAAAATCTTTCGGAAACGAACAACAAATCGCTCAGAATTTAAATATGCAGACACTCTGTTAAAATGAAGACGATTGAGAACACAAATATTTGCAAGATCCTTGGCTAGAATATAAGAAAAGATTAATTAAAATTATATTAAAAACTTACGTGAACTGAAATCAAAAATTTGAAAGACAATTTCAAGTGGAAGAGAAGCAAAACTTTGAGATCCTTGGTGTTTATTAAATAAAAAGAGAAGAAAACTGGAAAAAGGGTGAGGAACCATTTAAGATTATTTGGATATGCTGAAAATTAAAAAGAAATGGAAATTTTGAAACAAAGAAAAAATCAAACAATAGAGATTAAAGAAAAATGTTAGTGAAATAAAAGAAAAACAGAATGCCAAATGAACGCGTTAAAAATATATTTAAATGAATGAACATTTTTACAAGAATTTCAGAGGTGAGATTTCGAAGTAATGACGGCTATATAAAGTGGCTGATATGCTTTTGTTGTTTCAATTCGCGTTCTTTCGGATTTTAGATATTTAATTCTTTTAACTATGTCCAAGAATAAAATTTCGTTTGGTATCGAAATTTTCACTGGACCGTAAATTTGTTTTGAAAATTTATTTGATTAACCAAATAAATGCACAAAATAACCGGATACTCGCGAATGTTTTATTTTTTAGTTAAATTTATTTATTCTTATTTAAAAACAATTAATAAATTAAGGCAAAGTTTAAATTTTGATATGTACATAAACATCGAATATTAATCTCAGCTTTTAATGTTATGCAATTAACATATAATAAGTCCAATAAAATGCATTGAACAATGCGTAGATTGCTTAAAATATTTTTTATTTAAAAAACTTTTTAATAATATAACTACCAGGAAATGCCATTCTTGAAAATTTGTCTAAACGTTCACAACTAACAATTACATCTGTTTTCTATTTAAAAAATATTTTTAAAATTTATATTATTTTTTATAAAAACCCGATTTTGTCTATTATTTAAATTCTTAAATCTTTTAATACTTCCACCATCTTCTTTTCTCATTTTAAATCCAATTGCTGCTAATTCAACAAGTGTTGCAAAAATAAAAGTCATTCTTTTTTTAATTAAAAAAATTATTTTTTAATTAAAATTTACCCGCAAAGAATCCACAAATCAATAGCTTTAATATAGCTAACTCTGGGTAAATTACGAATAATTGAACCAAATTGAAATATCATTGCCAACAAAATATTCTGAGTTTTTTAAATTAATCTTTAAAAAATATTTTTATTCTAAACTTACAACTCCAATCATTGTTCTTGCAGGGATTGCCTTAAAAATTAAAATGAGAAAAAAAATTAAAAAAATAAATAGTAGAGGAATTGTGCTAAATAAAAAAAGGAATTATGTATTTGGTGTTGGGAATGTGGGAGAAGTTAAATCTTTTGTTTCCTACTCTAAAGATAATCTTTATAAAACAAACCTTTGGGCCGAGATAAAAAGGTATCCAACTAATAAAAATGAAAAGAAAAGTTGGATAGAAACCTGAAATTAAAGATTTTTTAATTTAAAGAAATTAAATTACCCTGAAGTAAATACCAACCATAACGTCTTTGAAATTGGAAAGAAACTGTTAATTCATCCCAAACACCTGCAGCATATCTTTGCCTTCTACTTGTTATTGAATAATTAACCATATAAAAATCTAAATAAATTTTTAGTACAGTCAAACATCATTTGAGGAGAACAATTAAGAGGGGGTTTAACCTAGTTGGCCATTCGATGGTGGCCCCCTGAACTACATAAATATATCTTCTAATCTCCACAACTTTTTTTGCCCCGAGAGAGTAAATACTATACTATAGAAGTAATGTCCAATTTTATTTTTAATTATTTAAATTTAACCAGGTAATTCAATATCTTTAAACATCTGTACAGGTTTTGGTTTATTCCAAACCATTCTAACTTCATTTCTATTATAATTATAAGATTCAAAAGTTAATAAACAATTAATTGAATCCATTGGAAACTTTAAAAAATATATAAAAATTAAAAAAAAAACATTTTTTATTAAAATAACTACTTTATGTAAATCCATTATACAAGGACCTGTCGATTTTATTCTCCAACAAGACCAAATAGAGCCTAATTAATTTTAATTATACATATAAATTCCAACAAATATTCTCATCCCTCTCTCTTATTTTTATTAAAAACAGAATTAAATAGATTTGGTTTGGACTACTGAAATACTTCAATTTTTGAATTAATTCAATTAAAATAAATAGAAATGGCCAGATTTTATTATTACAGAGAAAGAGGAATTTTAAAAATAAAATTTTAATAAATTATTTAATTTTTTTACCATTTGGAAAAATCATCAAAAATACCTAAAAAAATAATATTTAAATTAAATTATTTATTTATTTATTTACATTTCTAAAAGGAGAACTGTGTATTTGAGCACTTTTTGAATTAATAAAGCAAGTATTTGGTATCCTTTTAAAATTATTTTTTATTTAAAAACTACATTTAAATTAACCATATAGAATCTAAAAAAGTATAGTCAAAACTTAAATTTCCTTTACAAGGACGTAAATAATCGTAAGACAATGCTGGATCTTCCCAAAATTCATTTACATATAAATCTAAATTTTTAGAAAAATTAAAAAATAATTTTCTTCTTTTCTACTACCAATTTCAAAATCTTGTGTCAATTCACTAACAGAAGTTACTTCTTGTATCCAAAGTTCAATACGTACAGTAACTGGGTCGGAAGGGATTTTGTGCCGATTATAATGAACTGTTGTGTCGTAAAGAATGTGATCTAATTTAAATTTAAAAGACTTCTTTCACAATTTATTTTCTAACCTATAACATCAGTATCATTAGCACAATAATCGGGGAAAGTAACAAATGAAGGAACTATTGTAGTCATTAAAGCAGAAGAAGAATTACTAGATGTTGGGGATCTTCTTTAAATTTATAAGGGTAAAATAAATAAATATTGATATTTTTTTGTTTGTTTTCCCGAAAAGGAATTTAAAGTTACCTCAATTTAGAAAATTTCCCTCCATTAATTGTTGGAGGAAAAGCATTAGATTTAGTTAAAGAATCAAGTAAAGGCACTAATGGTTGAGAATGAATGACTTTTTTAATTAAAATAAATTTTATAAAAAATGCTGCTAAATATAAGTAGCACTTTTGATGAAAAAGTAATGGCATTCTCTCTGAGAAAATTTAAAAAATAAAATTTCAATTTGCTTATTTTACGCGACTATAATTACTATAAGTAATGGGGGAATGAAGTTTTTAATTTAAATTTTAATTACTTTATTTTAAATTAAAAATTCGAATTATTTTATTAAAAGAAAATTATTTGTTAATATTTTTTTGTTAAATTAAGCAAAACAAAACAAATATACATACTAATATTTTATTGATAAATAAATAAGGAAAAGAAAAAGTTTTTTTGGACAAGTCACTAAAAAAAGTAAATCCATTTGCCAGCCTGAAAGGAAAAAAGAAGGAAAAAGCCAAAATCTGTCTGTTACTTTTGCCATCTTCGAATGCTTATTTTGTATTCCCTAAAGGGATTTTGAAAGAATTATTGACTTTAAAAGATAAAATTTTAAAAGAAAAAATGGAAGAAAAGAAAAGATGTTGACAAACAAATAATTTTAAAGAAATTTTAATTTGAATAATTAATAGAGAATATATTTAAATTATAATAAATTAAATTTATTTTTTCCTTCCTTTAAATAAAATATAATCTGTGCATTTTCCTTGCAACCATCCCGCATATTCTGGATGTTTTCCAGGATTAAAATATCCTTCTGAATCTGCTAATTTACAATCGTTAAATATTTCTTTGTCTTTATCAGAAAGTTTTGTTATAAAGTTTTTTTCTTCTTCTTCTTTAACATCTGTTCGTTTCCTCTTTTTACCTTTTTAAATAAAAAATATTAATTTATTTAACTATAAATAGAATACTTCTCCGAAAATTTTCCATATTTCATTAAATATAATTGCCTGATATTTATCTCAAAAATACCTGTATGTTTATGATGATCTACATGATGTTGATGATGATGGTGGTGAGGGTGGTGGTGGGGGTGGGGGTGGTGGTCTTTAAGAATTTTAAATTTAAAAAATATTTTTTTAAATTTATTTTAACCTTCATTATGTTTGTGTTTTTTCTTTTTATGTTTTTTTGCAGGTTTTTCATCTTCCAACACTTGTTCGTCATCTTCATCCTCTTCTTCAACATCATTATCCTCTTTATGCTTCCTCTTTCTACTCTTCTTCACCGTCTCATCATCCTCTTCTTCTTCTTCTTCTTCATCACCCTCCTCCCCCTCCTCTTCTTCCTCCTCCTCCCTCTTTTTACTTTTTCTTCTTCTCTTTCCACTTTTTCCCCTTACTTTATCTTGCAATGTTCCTTCATCATCCTCCTCTTCATCTTCTTCACCTTCATCATTTTCATCCTCCTCTTCAACATCTTCATCCTCCTCTTTTCTTTTTTATTAAAAGATTATTTTTAAACAAAAATATAAATAGTAAATTCACTTTTTATGTCTTCTTTGTTTTTTCCGTTCAGGTTCTTGGTCCTCCTCTTCCCCCTCATTTTCTGTCTCCTAAAAGTTATTATTTTAAAATTATTTAAAATCTTTCAAATTAAAATAATTCAACAAATGTTTTTCCTTTAAATTATTTAAATACCTCCTCCTCATCTCTTTCACCTTGTTCGTCGTCATCTGCCAAAATATAAAAATTTTTTTAAAAATATTTTTTGTAATTTTCTAAAATTAAAATCTCATAAAATGAGGAATATTATTTTAAACATCTTTGCTCACAACTAATTTGAAAATATAAACTTATGGCCAGTTTTGAACAAATAAAATTATCTGACAAATGAGTGTGAAATTTCTTTTTTTTATTCCTTTGTAAAATTATATTAGCTTTCCCCATTTAATTTCCTAAAATGTTTTAACTATTTATTTCCATCTTAATAATATCCAAAATATTTATTTATTTTAAAATATTTATTATTTTTTTACCATTTTCATTTCCATTTTTATTAAACATTTGTTTAGCAGAATTTAATCCTTTCTTTATCATATTTCCCCCCATATTCTCCTCTTGTTCCTCTTCCATATTTTGTTGTTGTCCAGGACCATTTTTTGAAGGTAATTTACCATCGAGGAGACCATTTACACCGTTAGCCACTCCTAATCCAGTCTTCAATGCTTTCCCAAATCCTTTAAAAGTGTTAGAAAATAATTAATATTTTTGGAATTTATTTTTATAAGATCAACAAAATGTTTAAATAAATTAAGAAAATTTCTTTTTTAGTACTAATCCAAGTATCTCCCCGCATTTTCCTTTTTTCTCTTTTTTCCTAAAAATTAGGATCAGGAACCGAATCAAAGATTTTGGTTTGGGTTCGTGTAAAATTGATCCTTTTGAAAATCCAAAATCAAAACTGCTGCCTTAAAAATGAATTTTGTCCTCTTGTTAACCACGAAATTTTTAGATCGGTTTTTAATAACAGAAAAAATCTTCGGATAGTCGAATGGAAGACAAAAATTAATTTAAAACTCTTTAATTACTCCTTGATGGGCCTTTAGGGAAATACATAAACCTAATGAATTTTTGTTCAACACTAAATAATTTTTATAATTAATTTACCATTATTTTTGTTTTTATTTAATTTGTTTAGTCCACCTTTAAATGAATTAAAATATTTATTTTAAATAATTTAATATTTTTGCCTAAAGCGCTTGGTGCTAATTTAGCAACCAGTCCTAATTGGGAATTACAAAGGTCAATATTTAATATTAAAATAATTAAAATTGAAATAAAGGGGAAATTAAATTGATTTTTGAATAAATTAAGAAGAAATTTAATTAAAATTTTTTTGTTGAGGGACATTTATTTTAAAATCAAAGATTGGAAGAAAAAAGAGATAAAAGCATTAAATGAGAGAGAATTATTTTTAAATAAAAAAATTTCCCTCAATAAAACTTTTTTTTTTAAATTAAACAACTGAATAAATAAATTAAAATAAATTATTATAATTTAATTTTTTTTAATTTTTGGATTGCCAAAAATTACAAAAATAAAAAATCGATCACTAAAAAATAATAAAAATCACACTTGGTTATTGAACAGAAATTTTTAAAAATTGTTTTAATTTTTTGAATATTAATTTTTTTGAAAAACTAAAAAAATTAATTTTTAAAAATTAAAGAAAAGATTCTTAAAAAAACTTTTAATTTTCAAATATTATTTTTTTTGAGTAAAGTCCGGATAATATTTTATTTTTTTGTTAAAATCTCTTAATATTTCTAATATAATCAGATTAATGTTGAATTACTAAAACGTATAAGTAATTTTTTTCTCTAAATTTCCCCTAAATCCCTCAAAAATAATTAGAATATTAAAAACAAAACACAACAATTCTCTACATAAAACAATTTTTATTCAAGTGATTTTTGTTTTAACCATTCAGGTATTTTTAATTGATTAAATTCTCCAGCTCCATGTTTATGCAATAAATAAATCATTTGTTTTCTAAGCCAAGGAAGGGCTGTAAATGTAAATTCAAACTTCTCCACTTTATTTTCTCCAACAGTTTCCACACTTTTAAATTCAACAATTAAATGCCCAACAATTCGACTATCAACAAAACGAGCTTCCAAAACGCGCAAATTTGTTTGAATTATTTGTGGCTCGTAAACAATTTTAGAAAACATTGGAGGAGTTGTTGACTTGAAAGCTGCAAAATTTAAAGAAATTTTGATAATTGTTAGACTGCGAAATAATTTTTTTAGGAAATCAAGAAAATTTAAATCAAATAAAATTTATTTTTCAGAAAATTCCCAAATATTCTTTTCTTTTCCAGCCATATATTTTCTTTTAAATTTTCTAACCTGTATGAACAATTTTCGGCGTATCAGGATATTCACTAGGTAAAGAAGCCAAAAGTTTGTCTATCGCCCCAACAAACAATTTTGCATCTTCAAGTCTTAAAGGACAAAAAGAAGAAACATCAATACCTCTTAAATTCTTTAAAATAAAAATTAAAATAATTTAAAAAAGAAAAACAAACTTTAATTAATCTAATAACCATTTTATCATCCAAATCTTTACTTAATTTCACAATTAATTTAAATTGTTTTAAAATATCCATTGCCAAAATTTTATTTTCAATTTCCACAAAATCACTAAATTGTTTTAATTGTTCCTCTTTTGGTTTTGTAGATAATTCTTTTTGAAGTTTTAGTCTTTCTGCTATAGAAAATGAAGTTGAAGAAGTTGAAATTGGATTTTTGCCAAAATCTCCAAATAATTTAAAGGAAGAATTTTTTGTTGAAATAAATTGAATAATTGATGAAGATGGTCGAGAAAAACGAGAAAATTGATATGGGAACATCTTTAATTAGAAATTAATTAAGGAAACATTTCTAAAAAATCACAACAGTGAAAAAAAAAAACAAAAAAAATTTTAAATAAAAACAAATATTGGCATTCTGTCACTTTAAAAAAATTTTTTTTAATAGAATTCTGAAATTTTTTGTTTTCTATCAATTTCATTTTTATTTTATATCATTTGTTTTATTCTAAGTATATTTTTAGATGGTAAAAATCCAAAAAAATAAAAAGCTACAAAATTCAAATAAATTTAACAAATCAAAAAAATTTGCAAAAAATAAATTAAATAAGGCGAATATTTACTCAGATTCTCCAACTAATGAAGTCAAAAAGAAGAAAAATAATAAACAAAATTCTAATAAAAATTTCAAACAAAATAAACCAAAAATTGAACATGAAGAATCGAATAAATGGTTTTTTGAAAGGGGATTTTCTTTTTAAAGGTTTTTTAGGTATGATTATCAAATTAATGAATGTCGTTTAAATGAAAATAAATTAGATGAAAAATTGTTACAAAAAATGAAAAAACAGGCTGAAATTTTATTGGAGCATGATACCAATCTTTTTGAACAATGTAAGTTTTTGTTATATTTTTTTTGACATTTTTGTTCTTCCAAATAACCTTTGAGTTTTTCATGAAAAAATTCTAAAAAAATTTTTAAGGGTACAAATCAAAAAATCGAGGGGATGCCGAATGGATTGATACAGTTTCTCAAAAAGGAGCATTTTCTGACAAAATTTCTTCAATTCAATTAAGAATTCAGCGTTCCCCAGTTCATGCTCTTTCACATTTAATTAAATTTGTTGAACTTATTGGAAAGAAAGGAGCAGTAATTAGACAAGCATATACAATTACAAGTGGATTTAAATTAAAGTTAAATATTTTTAAAATTTTTTAGAGGCTTTAAAAGAACTTTTTGTAAATGAATTGTTGCCACCTGGAAGGAAATTATTTTTATTTAATCAAGTAAAAAATTTAAAAAAAACTTTAAAAAATATTTTTTAAAAAAATTTAAGAGACCTTTGGAAGAATTAGAAGACAAAAATGGTATTGAACTTGAAAGACGTTTAATTATGTGGATTTTTGAAGAAAAACTAAAAATGTGTTACAAACAATTTGTTGATGGTTTACAGGTTTTTTGTTTGAAAAAAATTAAAAAATATTTTTTAATTTTTAGATTTTGGCTGGAAATGTTGTAGAAGGTGTGGCTTTAAATGCTTGTAAAGAGATGACAGAATTATTAATTGATAGACCTGAACAAGAACAATTTTTGTTAAATTCAATTGTCAATAAATTGGGACATCCATTATATAGAGTTGGTTCAAAAGTAGCAATGTTTTTGGAACAATTAATTAGAAAACATCCAAATATGCGGTTAATTGTAATTAAAGAAATTGAACAACTTATGTTTAGGTATAAATTTATTTTTTAAAAATTTTGAAAAATTTTTTAAGAAAAAATATTTTGCCAAAAGCCCAACGTTATGGACTTCATTTTCTAAGCCGAATTTTAATTATTGCTGGAGAATTTGAAATTGCTACTTGTCTTGTCCAAATTTATTTAAAATTCTTTCGAATTTTGGTACTTAATGATGTACTTAATGAACATCATTTACTTCCTTTGTTAATTACTGGATTGAATAGAGCCTTCCCTTATATGAAAGGTTCGAATTTAAATTTAATTTTTTTATTTCAATTTTATTTTCCCTTAAAATACTCCTTTAAATACTTTTTTAAACAATTTTGCAAAAAATTCTATATTAAATGAAATAATAATCGACTATTAGCCTCTAAAATATTTTTCTGATTCTTTTCTGCCGTCTTAATACATAAAAGTGATATTGTTTTTCTCTAGAAAATTTTAAAAACTTTTACAATTTAGGCAAAAGTTTGGATTCTGATTTACTTAAAGACATTGATAGTCTTTATGCAATTGTTCAAACAGCTAAATTTTCAACTTCGCTTAACGTTCTTCGTTTACTTTTCCAAATTCACAGTGCTAGGTAATTTTTATTAAAATTGTCTTTTAAAAATCTTTTTTAGTGATGGAATTACTGATCGTTTTTATTGTGCTTTTTATCGTCGAATTTTAAATCCTGATGGTTTTGGCAATCAGAGTCATTCAAAATTCTTTTCTTTGCTTCAACGTGTACTTAAAAATGATCTTGTTGAATGCCGTGTTAGGGCTTTTATTAAAAGACTTTTTCAAGTATTTTTTTTAATTTTTAAGAATATTTTTAAAAAATATTTTTAGGTTGCCTTAACTAGTTCAGCCTCCTTTGCAGCAGCTACTCTTCTTACATGTTCTGTTATTATTCAAGAAAGGCCTGGTCTTTTAAGATTGGATGAATCTTTGGAAAATCAAACTGAAAATGAGGTTAGGAAATTATTAAAAAAAAAATTATTTTAAATAATCTTTTTTTAGAATAAAACAATTAAAAATGAAGAAAAAATTAAAGAAGAAAATATAAAAGAAAATTCTGCATTAGAACAAAAATTAGTTTGGTTTGAACAAAATGGAAATTCTGCTGATGAGGAGGAAGAAGAAACTTATTTTGATATAAAAGATGAAAGTAGTGATGAAATGAATGAGGAAATTAAAAAAGAAAAAAATTCTGCAAAAGAACTTTCAAAAACTTCAGGATGGATTCATCGACGTAATCTTTTCAAAAATTTTTATTAAAAAATTTTCTTCTTTTATTTTTGAAGCTTCATCTTCTACATTAAATAATATAAAATCTGACAAACAAAACAATATTCCATCCTTACCAAAAAGAAGAAATGCTTATGATCCAAATGCTCGAAATCCTTTATTTGCTGGTGCTGATTTTTCACTTGATACAGAATTATATACATTAGCAAGGCATTATCATCCAACAGTTGCTTCTTTTGCAAGAACTTTAATTCAGGGTTTTTTGTTTAAAAAATAATATTTTTAAATAATAATTATTTTAGGAGGCTCAATTCATTACAAAGGCGATCCTTTAATTGATCTTTCACAAATGCGTTTTCTTGATAGATTTGCATTCAAAAATCCAAAGACAAAACATTTAAATAAAGAAGTAAATAATAAACAAAAATTGAATCCTTTGTTTTCTCATACTTATGTTCCAAGAGGAATAAAAGCATTGAATCCAACATCACAGGTTTAATTTTTCAAATTTGCGAGATTTTAAATTTGGAAAAGTGTATTTTACTGTGTCAGTTACTGCCAAGTATTTTTTATTTAGGATTTTTAGAGTTAGCATTAGCTATTTCATTATTTCTTTTTATATCAAGTTTATAAAAATTTTAAGGATTATTTAAACAAAACAAGCAGTGAAATTCCATTAGATGAACGTTTTCTCCATCATTTTGCTTCAATAAAATTTAAAAAGAATATTAAAAATGAAGAAAATAAAAAAGGAAAGAATGAAAAGGATGATGAAGATTTTGATGATATGGCTAGTTTAGACTCTGACGAATTTGATCTTATATTAGGTAATATTTAAAATTAATAGAAGGTTTTTTTTTGTTTAAGAAAGGTTTGAACCTGGTGATACTCGAGATGTTTTTGATGTTGATTTTAGAGATGAATTTGGTGACGAAACAAACTCTAAACATAAAAAGAAAGGTGGTAAAAAAGGAAAAATTATTGATGAGGATGATGACTTTGAAAATGAATTGGCAGAATGGTTTGTTTGTTTTTTTAATTTAGTTAATTTTTGATTTGAAAACAAATTTAACTTATTTTTAAAAACAAAAAATATTTTTTTGCTTTAATTTTTTGAGGTATTATTTTAAAATAAATTTTTATATTTTTCAGCAGCGATGATGAAATTGACGAGGAAGATGAAGAAATTGAAGAAGAATTTTCATCTGATGGAGGTGAAAGAGATGAAAGTGGAATAGATTTTGACGAGAATGAAGAATTAAATGAAAGCGGGGACGAAGATAATTCTGAAATGAGTGAAGAAAATATAGATAATGATAGTAGTGATGGACAAGAATTTGATAGTGATTTATTATCTGATTAAAAGGGAGGGAAAATTGTTTTTGTTAAAATGAAAAATAAAAAGATTGTTTTTACTTGTTTTTATTTTTCTTTTAAATTTAAGTACCAATTAGTTTTTAATCAATTGTTATTTTTTGTTGTTACTATAAATAATTTTATATTTTTTTAAGATTATTTTTGACTTTACTATTTTTTAAAAATATTTTGATATGGGAAATATTTTGGTATGAGAATATATTTAAAATTAATTTTAAAAATTATTTAAGCCTTGTTGTAAATCAGCAAATTGGGCAGCAATTGAACGAACAAACATTAAAAGACAAAAACGCTTCGAAGAAGCTAAACGAAATGTTGATGAATATGGACAGGATCCAAGTGAAAGAGAAAAAATTAGAGGAATGTCATTAACTGAATTACAAAGTGAGAATATTAAAAGGTAAATAGGAAACTCTTTAAAATAAATTTCTAGAAGCACTTCAAAATGAAGAATTAACAGCTACACAAACACTTTATGCCTTTGCTTATTATGCATTGGAAGTGAATGGCAAAATTAATTGTATTGCTGAATTTTTTAATGAATCCTTTGAGGAAGCCAAAAAGCTTGACAAAGAATTTGAGAAGAAGGAGAAACCTCCCCTTTTTGGTCTTCCATTTAGCGTTAAAGCTAATTTTTTTGTTTGTTTTTATTAAAGATTTATTAATCCAAATATTCCTCCACAGATAAAAGGTTATGATTGTTGTATTGGAAATGCTCGTTTGTTGGATAATCCGCGTGCAAAAGACTGCACTTTTATTACATTACTTCGCCAACTCGGTGCCGTTCCATTTTGCTACACAAATGTGCCACAGACTTTAATTAGTTTTGCCTGCTCAAATCCTGTTTATGGGACTACTAAAAATCCTTATAATGCTTTAAGGTAGGATAGGGATTCCTTTGTTATTAAATATTCAATTTACATCTCTCAATAATATTCTCATTATTTAAATTTTCAGAACTCCAGGCGGCTCCTCAGGAGGTGAAGCTGCACTCCTTGCTGCCCGTGGCACAGCATTTGCAACTGGTGGTGATGTAGGCGGTTCTTTGCGTATTCCTGCCCATTTCTGTGGAGTTACTACTTTAAAGCCTTGCCAAGCTCGTTTCCAAATTCAACAAGCATTTGAAGGTTTGCCTGGTATTGGACGATTAGGATTGGGAAGTGGAGTTTTTGCACATACAGCAGAGGAAGTATTCTTTATCTTTATTTTATTTTTTAAATTATTTTTTTTAAGTTAACGTTTTTGCTTAGCCATATACTTGGAAATGTAGAATATCATAAACTTGTGCCTGAAAGTATTCCTCTTCCTCTAAATTTACAAAAAATGGAAGAATTTAATCAACGTTGGGAAGCTAAACAATTACGGATTGGTTATAATTTTGATGATGGATTTATTAAACCTGTCCCCGCGTAAGTTTTAATAAAATTGGTTAAAAAAATAAATTTAGTTGTGCGCGTGTTGTTGAGCGTTGTGTTGAGATTTTGCGATCTTCGGGACAAGAAATGGTTTATTTCCCAATTCCTGAACCAGAAAAAGCTGGTAAAATATTTTTGAATTTTCTAAAAAAATATTCTTTTTTTAGCCAGTCTTTTGTTTAAAAATATTTCTTGTGATGGTGGTGCTTTTCTTAAGAAAACATTTTCTGAAAATCCAGTTGACAAATATTTAAAAAGATTTGCTTTGATGTTAAAGGTATTTAATCTCTTTTTAAAAAAGATTTTTTTCTTTTTTAGATACCTCTTTGTGTTCGGTGGTTACTTGCTTTTATTTTTGACATTTTCTGTCCTCAATTGGCAATTCTTATGCGTGCTTATGTTCGTACTCCAAATGATGTCCGTCAGTCGCAAGAACAACTTGATGAATATGTCCAAAAGGTTTTTATTTTTTTAGTCTAAAATAATCTTTTATTAAAGTTCACTGAACAATGGTTGGCTTCGAATTTAGATTTGCTGATTGTTCCTGCTTTTTCTTTTCCTGCAATTCCTTATGATGCGTGCAGTGATCTTGCTGCTGCGGCATTCGAAACTGGCTTATATAATGTATTCTTTTGTATTAATTTTTTGGATAAAATATTTTCAGATGCTCGATTACCCTGTTGGGTGTTTACCTGTTGACAAAGTAACATCGGAAGATGACAAAGCACTTTCAGACGAAACTCAATGGGCAACAGGTTTAAAGACAATGAAAATCAATCAAAAATTATTTTTATTTTAAAGATTGGAATCCCATCCTTAAAAGAATTCGTTATGCAGCAGCAAATTCTGTCGGTTTGCCTGTTAATATTCAAATTGTTGGGTTACCTTTTGAGGATGAAAAATGCTTGGCTTTAATGCGTATTTTAGAAAAGAAATTAAAAGATACCAAAAATGACTTATAAAAAATAAATTCCTATATCTTTTTAATTATTTTGTAAAATTTATTCATTTAAAATAAAACAAAAGAGAATTTAAATTGTCTTTAATCTTTTGATATATAGTAAAAAATCGTTACCCAAATACCAAAAAAAATCCAAAGAAAATAAATGCATTATATTCAAAATATTTGAATGTTTTCAAAAAAAATTACAAGAAAAATTCTCTATTTTCTTTGGATTGTTGTTATATAGTAAAGAAAAGAATACATTATAATGCCAAATAATGAGCTTTTTTGTTATTTAAAGATATAGGCTAAGATTTTAAAAATCGGTACTTTTTTAGATATGCTACTTCCTCTCTAAAATAATTTTTAAATAAATTCTAACAAAACATTAGAATTGTCTAAATCTAAAATTATTTTTAAAAGGCACCGAAATGAAATTTTAATCAATTCTGTAATTTATTCCAAATTTATTTAATTTTTTTATAGAATTTTAGAGAAGAGTAACATAATAAAGTACCAAAAAACATACTTTAAGCCCTTTTAAATTCAAAAAAATATATTTTCAATTCATTTAGTATTTTTAACCAAATCATCACTCTCCACCCCACCATTATTGTTAATCCCAACTTCAGTGTTTAATTCTTCACGAACTTTATTTCCGGCAGCTTCCATTGAACGTTCAGCATTTTGAAGTTCTTGTTCAGAGATTATCTTTTTTAAAAAATAATTTTATTTATTTTAAAATAAATTATATATTTACAGAATGTGGCAATTTAATAGCATCTAATCCTTCCATTCCTTCATCAATATTATAAGTATTATTTCCCGGAATCCCCTCAATACTATAGTCTCCCATAGCAGATTGGTGATGTTGTTCTTTTTCAAATTCTGGCTCAATTAACGGCTGTTGTTGAACAGACGGAATTATTATTTGAGTAGAATTTATTTCATTGTTTGTCTCATCTTTAGTAACATTCATAGCTAAATAAAAATAATTAAAAATATTTTTTTTAAAAACCCAAACCAATATCCAAAATATTGTCAGGATTTCCAAAACTTCCACTATCATCAAAAACAATAGGAAATTGATTGGCATCAATTTCTTTTGGTTTTGCAGTAAAAGTCTCATTATCTTTAGTAAAAGTATCGCCATTTAATGGTTGCTGCTCCTTTAGAAAAGGAATATTTTAATTATTTTTAAATTAAAAAAACCTCTTCGTTTTCATTTTTGTTTTGAATTATTTTTTGTATTTGTCCAATTAAAGATGAAAATACTTCATTTGCAGCATTCTCATTACAGAGACATTCAATCTTGCGTAATTTTCCAAAATAGAAATTACGTTCACGCTCGTAAATTAAAGAATTTTTGGTAATCTCATCAATTTGAGATTGCAATTCTTTTTTCTAAAAAATTAAAAAATGAGGAAAGGCATTTTTAAATAAAAGAAAAATGTCAAAAAAAACTTTGTATATGGTAGGGATTTATTCCAATTTAAACTATTAAACGACCTGTTGTTCAATAAGAGTAATTTCAGCAGTCCCAATTCCACTACGATTTCCAGTAGATGAAGGAGCAGTACTTTTACGTCCTGATGTACGCAATGTCTGTTGCCCATTCCGAACAGTTACACCATTCTTTTGAGGAGAATGAACAATTGGAGGACGACGCTTAGCTGCTGCTGAAGCAGTAGTTGTCGCTGCAGATGGAGGTGCTCGAGTGTTTGCCGCAGCTTTCGGCGCTGCCGCCGGCACTGCTCTTGCACTAACATTTAAGGAACGCCTGGTATCTCTAGCATCTTTTATAAAAAATATATGAAACAAAAAAATAATTTAAGAAAACCTGGCTTTGGCACACCAACAGGTCGAGATGTCGGCCCCTGTGCTGTTGAACGCCTGGAAGCTGCGGCAGTTGAATTACCAACAGCTGGAGGTGCTTTCTTAGTGGCTCCACCAGGCAACGCAGCAGGAAATTCCTAAATTTTTATTTTGACAAAAGTAGGTAAACACAGATTTATCCCAACCTCATTATTCCGTGCTGCAGCCGCGTCATACTCATGCCCGTCAAAGTTTGCATCGAAAAACTTTTTAAACCACTGAAGAAACTCAAAATTGTCTTGAAACTTGGCACGCATCAAACTTTGGACAGGAATTGGCTAAAAATATATTATGTAAAAATAATTCTTGTTCGTTTCCCTCATTTTTGCAATTTAATTTGTTAGTGGTTAATTTTGAAGGCTCGATTTGAAAATTAAGATAACTAGACTGTGACAACAGATTAATCATCGGCTTCTTGGTTTGTCCTGTGGGTCCAGAGAATACAAAACCAAGCTAATGTGTCACTCTAAATAAAGTTATATAATCGAAGGTAACAAAAAAATTTCAAGCATGTCGAAAATGGGAGACAATCTGGAAGACTCGTCTCTTTACTAATTTAAATAAAAATTATTTAAAACCCTGTCAATTCCAATATCCTTCCAAGAATGTTGCAAAACTCGCCAATTATTCATCCAATCAACTTCTTGCCGGCTATTCCATTTGACCTAAAAATATTTAATAAACAAATTGCTTTTAAAAAACAAACTTTCTTAAGCGGTACACGCGTCGGAAAGAGTAAATCAGTAAGTTGGCAATAGGCAGCCCCCGTCGCCATTTCTTCTATTTTTGTTAAATTAGACTAAAAAATAAAGTTAAAGTAAAATAAACACAAATACAACCTGAAGAGAATTATTTACCCAGGCAAGAAGTTCAAAACGTGATACATTCTCTGAAGTCACTGAAGTAGAATAAACATTAACAACTGGCATGGTAGTTAATGATTAAATGTTAAAATGAGATTGTTAACTAAAAATAAAAATAAATAAAAGGTTTCTAAAAATATATTTAAATAGATCAATATGCAATTACATTCAAATATCCCTTACTTTACAAGCGAAAATCTTGGAATAAAAAAAAATTAAAAAATTATTGAAATTAAAAAGGAGTAAAGGACGTTTCAGAGTAGGAAATTCAGAATCAGCCGTTTGAATACAAATTTTTATTAAAATAAGGAAGTCTGTATTTATTGAAGGAACATTCAAAAAATTAAAAATTAAAAGAAAAATTTTAAATAAAAAATAATAATTTTTAGCTTAAAGAACTTTTAAAAGTTTAAAACAAAAAATTAGGTATATCCAGTATATCATAAATTTATTAATAATTTTTATTTGAACATCTGTTTAACTTAAAAATAAACACATAAACAATACTTCATATTTTTCTCAATCTCTTCCTTTTTTTCTGTTTGGAGTTTTTTCTCACTTTTTAAAAATCAAATTTAAAAAAAATTTAAAGTACATTTTATTTAAAAAAACTTCTCATTCTTACAAAATTCAATTTAATTTATTTTCAAGCAATTTTTGAAGATACATACATATTTCTAATTTTATTAATTAAAAAAGATTTGTCATTTTTAGCCATGTGTTTTGGCTATCATTAATATGCACTATAATTCAATAAATTAATATTAACAACAATTTCCCCCTTTTAACTCTCTTCCTTTCCTTCATTTAACCGACAAATTGCCAACAAATTACCTCTTCATTTATTAATTATTTTTTCACACATTTAAAAGAATTTCCAAATAAAATTTCGAAACAAAAAAATTTTTTGGAATTTTTAGAGAAAATTAAAAGTAAAAATGAACTTCTTTAAAAGATATTGCCGGATATCTTTTGTTATTATTTTATTATTTCTTTTTTTAATTATTTTTGTTGAAAATACAAAATCTTTAAAATTCTCTTCAATTTTTCCATCATTTGTTAAAAAGAAAACAACAATTTCAACAATAAAAACAAAAAATTTTAAAAAAGATTTGACAATTTGTGATTTAAATGGTTTAATTAATTAATTAATTTTATTTTTTATACAACAATCAACAACCTCCTACTAATAAACCAAAATTAGATACTCCCCAATTTTTAGAATATTTTTTAAAATTCGGTTAACCATTGGGTTAAAGAGAGGCTGCCACTCCTCAAAAATATTTTTAACCTCAAGGATAATCTAAAAATGACGTTAAACAAAATCTCAAATTAATTTAATCTCTTCCCTCTTCAATATTTTTCCTTTTTTAGATCAAAAAAAGTCAAAATAAAATTTATAATTTAAATTAGATTTAGGCCGTCCCCTTTCTATTAATTTTAGAGTTTTTAAAAAATTCTGGGTTGAAAAATAAATTTATTTTTTGTGGAAATTATGAAATTAATTAATTAATATTTTTCTCTCATTTTTTAAAAATTAAATTAAAGATAATAAATGTATTGGAAAAGAAATAAACGAAGAAGTAAAAGCAGGAAATATTATTTTAAGTTCTAAAGCTGAAAAACAGGCAAAAAAATCCAAAAAGTTTGGGGCTTTTAAATCTCTCAAATTTTTATTTTTTTCTTTAAAAAATTTAATGAAATCAAAATGTAAAAATAAAAATTGTCAAAAATCTTTTGAAAATGGAAAAGTAATTGTTAAAAATATGGCAGAAAAAATGTTAAAAACTAGAAAAAGAATTAGTAAGAGAGAAATTAATATTGAGGGAAATGGTGAATTTATTTTTTGAATTAAATAATTCTTTTAATAAAATTAATTATTGAATTTCCTAATAAAAATATTCCCAAATAAATATGTATTAAAATGTTCAGTTAAATTAAATTCTTGTTATTTAATTTGGGTTTTTTTTGGTTTCTCCCATTTCCTTTTTACAGAATTTGATCCGCTATTCAAAAAATCGTTGTTTTTCACAATTATCGACTTATAACTTTTTCATGAGTGATCAGACTTGATCCATCCAGTTGGGTAAAAAATAGCGCTTATCGAGGGCTTTTGAATGGTATGAGTTTCATTCGGATTATATCAAGCATAAAAAATTATAGCTGATCAAATTCGGTAAAAAGGAAAATGGTTTCCCTCGGATATTATGTAAAAATAAAATAACAAAAAGATAAGAAAACTTTAAAAAATAAATTTTAATTATTTAATTTAAAAAATTAGAAAATCAATGTAAAAAATTACACGGAGAAATGCAAAAGAAAACTTCTTTTAAGTCAATTATTTTTTGGTTTAAAAATTTATTTAAAGGAAAAAAGAAAAAAGAAGAAGAAAAAAATATTTTAAATAAATTTAATAAATTTGGGTGTTTTGAATTTAAATGGCTGGGAAAATTAAAAAAGAATTTGTTGGGGAAGAAAAAAATAAGAAAATTGGGGAAAAAAGGAAGAGGAAGGGTTAAAAGATTTGTTGAAAATAAGGAGGTTTTTTCTAAATTAATTAACATAATCTCAATAAGTCTTACACAAACTTGGAACTTTTTAAAATAAATTTACATATTTAAAAATTAATTTCTAATTATTTTAAAGGAATATTTTAATGAATTAATTAGACAAAGACGGGACAATGGAAGAAAATATGAAAGAAGCAACAGTAGTAGTGAAGAAGAAGAGGAGGAAGTGGAGGTTGAAGTAGAAGAAGAGGAAGATGAAGGGGAAGAGGAGGAAGAAGAGGAGGAAGAAGAGGAGGAGGAAGAAAATAGTCATCAAAACGAAGCGGATATGGAAGTCGAAAATGAATATTTTAGTGAAAAAAGGATTAAAAAGAAGAAAAATAAATATGGAAATGAGGTAATTTTGAAAATATTTAAAATATATATTTTTTAATTTTCATAAAGTATCAGAGATATGAAACAACCCGAAGAAAAACTTATAAAAGAAATAGTAGTGAATACAATAAAAAGAATGGAAGGTTTAAATAAAAATAAGTATTCTCTAAATTTTAAATTTAAGAAAAGTTTATTTCCAAACTATGAGTGATTATAGACACGGTAATTAATTAATAAAATTAATTTTAAAAATAATTTCTCGAATATTAAAATTTTACTCAAGAAAATTAATAATTTAATTATTAAGTAAATTATATTATTTTTAAAATTCTTTTAAATTAATTTTTAAAATAAATATTCACAAAATTTTACCAAAAAAGATGCTAACGGAAAAGGAAATGGATATAAAACAAGTTTTAAACAACATACAAGTTTTCATAAAAATAAAGATAAAAATAATTCTTCTTCTGCTTCTTCCTCAGAACAAATTGAAAATAAAAAAGAATATTTAAATAATAAAAATATTGCCAAACATTCCTATGAAAAGAAAATTAAAGAAAAATCATTTTACAATAAAAATACTGGAAAAACAAGTTTTTATTTAAATTAATTATTAAACTTTAATTTTAATTAAAAGGTCATTATAAAAGATTTGAAGAACGTAGAGAAGAACATAATGGAGAGGTTTTTGTTGTTGAAAATAAGAATAAAAAATATTTAAAATTAATTGTAGCTTTGGTAACGGTTATTTTATTTATTTTGTTAATTATAATTATTATTTAAAATTTTTTTAATTAATTAAAATTATTTTCTTTTAAATTAATTAATTTTCTTTCTTCTCCTAATTCTTATTTTATTTTCTAAATCTTCTAATTGTCAATTCTTTTTAAATTAATATTTTTATAGTGAGAGAGAAAGGATTAAAAATATTTGACACAGCAACACTAATTTATAAAAATTATTTAAAACATTTTACTTCAATTTTTTCTCTCTCCTCTTTTTTTTCTTTTAATATTTAAATTTAATTTTTATTTATTTGGATATATAAATAATCTATTAAACCATTCACGGTCATTTTTTTGAATGATTTAACGATGTAAATATATATACCTCTTTAATATTGTTTAATAAATATTTACAAAAAAATTAATTTTTTACCAGTCATTTTATTTTTTCTGTAATTTCTTTATTATTTTCAATTCAAAGAATAAGTACCATTTTATGATAAAATTAATTTTAAATTCTGAAAAAATTTTTCAACAAAATTATTTAAAAATCCAAAAAAGAGAATTTAGTAATTTAATTTTTTAAAAAAGAATAATTTAAAATTAAAAATAATAAAGTGAAATTATTTTTAAAAAATGTAAATTTTACACAATGTTGTCTGTCTTTCATTTTTTGATTTACTTAACATCAGTCATTCTTGTCCAACTTGAATTTAGGTCCAACTTAAAAACAAAAATTTAATTTTTAAAAAATAACTAAACTTTTACCTTCAAAACGGCTCTTCTCCAAAGTTCGAGTGCATGGAGACATTAATTGGTCAGATGGAGAGGAAACCTAATTTTTAAAATAATTAATTAAAAATTAAAAAATAAATAAACATGAAATTGTTTGCGCATTTGTTTAAGTTTAGTAATTGCCGGAGTACTAGCAGACTTTACAGCAATCATTTCTGGTGTCTTCTTCTCATTTTCAGAAACAATTTCATCATCAGAAATACTTCCAAGAGGCTAAAAAATAATCTTAAATAGCCCTAATTGTTCCGTGATAAACCTGATTATTCCGAGCTGCAATCGGGTCATATTTATGTCCATCATAATTAGCATCAAAAAATTTCTTAAACCATTGGAGAAATTCAAAATTGTCCTCAAACTTTGCACTCATTAAACCTTCGATTGGAATTTTCTTAAAAATATATTTTTAGAAATTTAAATAACAATTTAACTTTATCAATTCCAATATCCTTCCAAGAAGTCTCCAAAATTTCCCAATTAGTAATCCAGTCAGCTTCTTTTCGACTATTCCAGTTGATCTAGAATAATTTTAATTTGAGGAAATTTTATTTAAAATCAACATTTGTAAGTGGAACATGTTTTGGAAAAAGAATGTCAGTAAGTTGGCAGTAAGCAGCACCCGACGCCATATCTTCTATTTTCCCAAGATTGGTCTAGAAAAAACATAAATTAAAAATAAAAGCACAAAAACAACCTGCAGACAATTATTAACCCAAACAAGAAGCTCAGAATGCGAAACATTCTCTGATGTCACTGAAGTATAAACATTAACAACTGGCATGGTAGTTAATTATTGTTATTTAACTAAAAATTAAAAAAATATTAAATTTAAATTTAGAAGACAGTTAAATTCAAAACTTTTCTCAAAATATAGCGCCAAAATGAATTCAAGAAAAGGATACAAATTAAGGAAAATTAGGAATTAAAATAAATTCTTGTAGAAAACAAGTAATCTATTAATGTTCAATTAAAAAATAAAAAAATTTTATTATTTGTAAGTATTTAAAGCAATAAATAAAATAAATTTTCAATTTAATTTTCAATAAATTTTCAGTAAATTATTTATCTCCAGCAGCAGGAAATCTTAATTCATTAAGACGAACTTTCTGAAATAGAATATTGAATAAATATTTATAGTTTAAACAAAACTCTTACATATTCAATAGATTTTCTGAGCCATTTATCGTTAACAATATAGATGCTTTGCCACTCTTTTGCCCGACGAAACTTTTCTCCAGAATTATTGGCAGTTATTAAATGGGTACAGCTTAATTTGTTCATTTGACCAGAAAACTTTCCACCATGCAACTCAATCAGACGTCCCATCCCAACTCGCTCATTGCTAGTGAAGCCAGAAATGGTAATTTCCTGCAAATAACGAATAGTTAATTAGATATAACTAATTAATAGTTACACAGCCAGAAAATATCGGAGTTCTGTAGTTGTCAATAGATTCCTCACTCAAAAAATCCCCCATTGATTCTATGCTTGAGTGAGCATCTTGAATCCACCGCGGAATAAGAACAGGGATTTTGAGTCGCCGTGCCGCCTAAATATATTATTTAATTAGAAATATAAATTAAACAAACAATATAATTTTCTGATTTATTATCACAACGTTCAGCAATTAAGTAATTAACATTCTCATCAACCTCTAATCTACAATCTCCGCCCATCTCGAGTAAAAGCTTTGTTAACTCATCCTAAATTTATATTTTTCAGGAGTTAAATTGCAAATAAACCTGGCTTTCCCGTCTCAATCCTGCGAACGATATCGTAACTCCACCGAACGCTTTAGATTTAACTGATTCGTTCATTTTAGGTTCCGCTCTCAATTCCTCATTATGGATCTAAACTTATATTAAAATACTATCAAATGATATAACTGAAATACCATCTCTACCATCTCATCATTATTTATCTCTTCAATATGTTCATTTTGTGTAGTAGGTTCAATTACTTTAAGATTGTGAAATTTCTCAACGGTAGATGTATCTACGGCTTTATGTATCTGCTCAAAATCATTGACTGTAGAATCGGCAGGTTTATTTTTAGTCGATTCAACTATTTCTTCATTGTGCAGCGACTCGACTGGTGGTGCATTTTCAACCTGACACACCGGTTCTACAGCATTGCCCGTAGATTTAATAGGTCCATCTTTTGTAAGTTGTAACACATCAACAGTTGGTGCATTTTCAACCTGACATATCGGTTCTAAATCATTGCCTGTAGATTCAATAGGTTTATTTTTAGTAGATTCAACTATTTCTTCATTATGCAGAGACTCGACTGGTGGTGGATTTTCAACCTGACATATCGGTTCTAAATCACTGCCTGCAGCATTTTTTGAAGGTTGTAACATATCAACAGTTAGTGCATTTTCGACCTTACAAATCGGTTCAAAAGAAAATTCAATCTCATCAAGACGAACTTTCTGAAATAAAATATTAGATATCTATAACTTTAACAAATCTCTTACTTGTTCAACAGATTTTTTAAGCCATTCTAAGTTAACAATATAAATATTCTTCCACTTTTTTGCGCGACGAAACTTTTCTCCAGAATTATTGGCAGTTATTAGATGGGTACAACTTGATCTGTTCATTTGGCCAGAGAATATCCCTCCATTCATTTCAATCAAACGACCTATCTCTTGTCGGTCACTGCCAGTGTAGCCAGAAATTGTAATTTCCTGCAAAAATGAACATCTATATACAACTAATCAATAATTACGCAGCCAGAGAATATCGGAATCCGGTAGTTTTCAAGATATTCTTCACTGAAAACATCCATCATTGAATCTTTCCTCGAGTGCGAATCTAGAATCCAACGCGGAATAAGAACAGGAATTTTGAGTCGCCGTGCCGCCTAAATATATTATTTAATTTAAAATACATCCATTAAACAAACGATATAATTTTCCGATTTATTATCACAACTTTCAGCAATTAGGTAATTAACATTTTCATCAACCTCAAGTTTACAATCTCCGCCCATCTCGAGTAAAAGTTTTGTTAACTCATCCTAAATTATATTTATTCTAAAATTCAATTAAAATAAACCTGTTTTTCCTTGGTTAATCCTGAAAATGATATAGTAACTCCATTGAATACTTTAGATTTAGCCGATTCGTTACTTTCAAGTTCTGCTTTCAAATCCATATGACAGATCTAAACATATTAATAATGTCAAATGATTTAACTGATACCATTTCCTCGTTTGTTTCATTACGTTCATTCTGGGCAGGTTCAACATTCTGGGCAGGTTCAACTTCTTTAGGATTGTCGAATATTCTAACTGCAGATATATTCTCAGCTTTGTATATCTGCTCAAAGAAACTTCCTGTAGATTCAATAGGTTTATTTTTAGTAGATTCATCATTGTGTAGTGAATCAGGGGGTGCATTTTTAACCTGACATCTTGGTTCAAAATGATTGTCTTCTGTTTCAAAAAGTTCCTTGTTTTTGGGTTCAATGTTTTCATAATTTGGTGACTGCTTTTTGATAGCAAGGGGAGAATTTTCAACTTCACTTTTCGGTTCAAAAGAAAATTCAAGCTCATCAAGACGGAATTTCTTAAAATAATATTAAATATTTATAATTTAACCAAGTATATACATGTTCAATTGATTTTCTAAGCCATTCAACAGTGACAATGTAAATAGTTTTCCAATCTTTTGCTCGACGAAACTTTTCTCCAGAATCATTGGCAGTTATTAAATGGGTACAGCTTGACTTAAACATTTGTCCTATGAAAATACCACCATTCATTTCAATCAAACGGCCAATCTCTATTCGTTCATTACCAGCGAAGCCGGAAATGGTAATTTCCTGCAAAAATGAATAATTAGATATAACTAATCAATAATTACGCAGCCAGCGAATATCGGTGTCCTGTAGTTGTCAATAGATTCTTCAGTCAAAAAGTCCACTATTGAATTTGTGTTTGAATATGCATCTTGAATCCACCGCGGAACAAGAACAGGAATTTTGAGTCGCCGTGCCGCCTAAATAAATTACCCACATATTTCATTTAAAAATATATAATTAAACAAACGATATAATTTTCCGATTTATTATCAATAATTTCAGCAATTAGGTAATTAACATTCTCATCAACCTCTAATCTACATTCTCCGCCCATCTCGAGTAAAAGTTTTATTAACTCAAACTAAATTTATATTTATTCTAAAATCCAATTAAAATAAACCTGGCTTTCCTCCGTTAATCCTGCGAATGATATAGTAACTCCACTGAATACTTTAGATTTAGCCGATTCGTTCATTTTAGGTTCTGATTTTAACTCCATGATATATGTATAAATCTGAAAATTTTATCGATATGTTTTATCTTTGAGGCTATGAATAAATAAAAAAATTTATGAAATTATATATTTATGAAGTTCCCCAAGTGTTATATTTATGTATGTACTCAAACTCCTCTAATTCAAATTCAAAATTAGCGATTTGGCACTATTTTTGTCATAACGTTTTTTGTCTGGAATTACGTGAAAATTTCACAAATTGGTCAATTTTTTTCTTATTTCCGTTACAATTTTTCTGTTTGATCTTTTAATTTGCAGATGGTCTCAAATCTCAGTAATGACAGTGAATTGCACGAAAATAAATTAAACAACGGAAACAGAACGAACTCTCCTTTCTATGAACCTCGTCGTGATAATGATCGACAGGCTAATGGCAATTCAAATGATCCACAGGAATTTATACTGGCTCGGAATGTCGCTGAAGACAATTATTGGCGTAGGTATGCTAGAAATTATTTTACAATGAGAATATTTGACGAATTGCTTTATTCCGAAAACCTCTGAATCTTACACTTTCTTTATGTTTCATATTTTAGCGTCATTTGGGACAGTTTTCTCTTAATAGTTTATAGCTCTAAATTTTAATTTAGTCGACGTGAAGAGCGCGAACATCTTGGGAAAATTGGAGTTCGTCGCATTTGGGGATATTCTCCTACACATGATGAATTGGAGCAGTTATATGACGAGTAGGTTATTTATTTTTTAATGATTTAATTAGGTAGTTTATTTTTTAGACAATATTTGGATGAAGATAATGTTATAGGCAAGAAAACGAAGAAACACAAATCGAAGATGAAACGTTCGCCAAAATCTTCAGAATCCTCCATTTCTTCCCTATCTTCTGATGAAAATACTACAGATGAATCTGATGATGAAATTGTGAAGCATAAAAAGAAACACAAAAAGCACAAAAAACATAAAAAGAAGGATAGTGATAGGAAAAGAAAGACAAAAGACAAAAACAATAAACGGAAAAAGCGACAGAGGAGAGAGAGGTTGGTTAAAAATATTAAATTTTTCATATATCATTTATTAAGTTTTTATATTTATAGTAGTGATGAAGAGCCTGGGCACCATAAGGATGAAAAAGGTGATGTTTGGGTTGAAGTAACAAAGGAAATGCAAGTAGCACAAACTAAAAAGGAGGAGGCTGCTATAGTTGGACCTTCAATTCCTGAACATATTCAACAAAAATTAAATCCTGCAGCTGCTTCAAGTGATATAAGACTAGATGCAGCGTTAGTTATTTTAATTTTTCTTTAAATTTTAAATAAAATTCTTAAGTGCTCGGACAAATATGTTGAGGGGCGAAGCAGCAGCAATGGCAGCGTATGCTGCTCAGGGAAAAAGAATTCCGAGAAGAGGGGAGATTGGCCTAACTTCTGAAGAAATTGCTGTTTTCGAAGTTGCTGGATATGTAATGAGCGGTACTCGACATAAAGCTATGGAAGCTACTCGACTTCGAAAAGAAAATCAAGTAAATATTTTTAAACAATTTAATTAGTTAAAAAAATTTTTTCTGTTTAGATTCTTACAGCAGAAGAAAAACGTTTATTGAAGACATTTTCGATTGATCAGAGAAATAAGAAGGAAGAAACCGTTTTGAAACAATTCCGTGATTTGATAAGTTCTAAGAAACCAAAGAGTTAAATTGTATATTTTTTAAATAAATTTTTTATAATTTTTTAAACGAAATCGATTTATAAATTTTCAAAAGAAATTGAAATTTTGATACATTTTTAATAATTTTGCATTATATAATTAACAGAATTTATAATAAAGAATGGTAACAACTCGGTTTGCTTCAAGAAAGTTACTTTCACTAAACAAACATTTAAATTCCCCAAACCAACAATTTATTAAATGGGAGAAGGTTCTCTACAAACACCAACCATTTCCAGATAATTACACAGATGACACATTATTTCTTGATCAGTTACGCACAAATGGTTAATTTTAAAATTTTAAATTTAAATAAATATTCAAGTTAATGTTGTTAAATATTCAATTGTTGAATCGATACGTGGTGGTGCAATAGTTATGTCACAAGTTGATTTGGTGGTTATTTATTTGGGCAAGTTTTTTCTTATTTTTGCATTTGACACTTGAATTTTTCAGTTATTTTCGAATTTTGTCGATTAGAGTTTTGTGGGAGTAAAACAATTTTGTTGATCAATTTAACCATTTGTCTAATTCTTTTGTCTCTCGTAACCTTCTATAAATGTTTTTACATTAATTTAAAAAATCACTGGCAAACATTATTTACTATTTTTACTTTTGGTTATGCATTTACTCCCGTAATTAGGTTTTCTTTTATTTTTTTTTCTGTTTAATAAACTTTTAATTTATATTAAGAACTTTAACCACAACAATCAGTACTGACACCATTTGGGCTAGTGCAATTATTCTTTTCTTTGTTAGCCTTTTTGTACACGATTATGGAATGGAATTTGCACCAATGCGAGTTTTTTTAAATTAAAGAATCCAAAAAAAGTCTTCAGTGTCTCAACTGCTTTGTCTGTTAATATTTGTTTGTCAGCATCTGTTTTCTTAATTTCTCGAGTTAACTGCGATCTACTTGCTTTCCTTTTGTTGGGACTATCTCTTTTACTATTTTGTTTTTGGCCACAACTTAGAAATGGTTAATTAAAGGAGTTTTCTTTACTTATAATTAATTTCGGCCCTATCTGAATAAGAGGGCGGTTTGATTTTTTTTCATCATTTTTTTCCTACCTTAATATATAAATAATGGTCAGTCTTTTCTTCCTCGTTCGATTCCACTCGTTTTACCTGTGGCATATTCAAATGAGAAGAGTCAAAACACACACATGGACAGACAAAACCGACAAAGTACACGGTCGTCCGTGTTTTGTCCGAGTCCGTTCGTGTTTTGTCTTCTGTGTTCGTCCGTGTTTTGTCTGTCCGAGTCCGTCCGTGGTCAGTCTTTTCTTCCTCTTTGAATACGTCCATGTTTTGTTTGTCCTCTCATTTGAATATGCCACGGGTAAAACGAGTGGAATCGAACGAGGAAGAAAAGACTGACCATTATTTATATATTAAGGTAGGAAAAAAATGATGAAAAAAATCAAACCGCCCTCTTATTCAGATAGGGTCTTAATTTCCTTTTCAAGTTTTACTTTCACAATCACCCAACACAATTTTTATTTTATTGCCAATATTGACAGTTATTTCTACAGGGATTTTGTTTGTATTAAACGGAATTCTAGCATTTATCCATCTAATTTTACATTTTTTATTGGTCGGATTATGCCCCAAATTGCTAGTTAGAATGCAACAATGGAAGAGGTTAAAAAGTTATTTATAAAGGAATAATACTTTTAATAATTTTAAGCACGATTCATGGACCATGGGATGAAGTAACTATGAGAGCGAGGCATCTAACTTAAATGAAGAGGAGCAATAAAAAATAAAACCTCTATTTATTTTGTATATTTAAGTTTTTATTCGATAAAATAATTTTAAAACAATTTTTACGGAGATTTCGCAATAACTTCATCATCCTCATTATTTGAATTAAAACATGATTGACGCGATAAATTAGCTCCTCGAGATCGACTGCGTGCACGTGAACGACTACGAGCGCGACGTACAAGTTGAAAGAATTCAGGAAAAGGCATCAATTGCTGAAATTAGTTAAAAATTAAAAATATTTTGTAAAAATATATAAAACCTCCATTTTCAACAATTGCATGTTTGTGCATCTTTGAACTGGGCATTGGTAAAGTTGACGACGGCTCTTTTGAAATTTAATATGTTCTTCCACCGATTCACGATCATAAACATGTCCACAAATCTGGAATTAGGAGAAAGTATAAAAGAACAGATAATTTTCAATAAGTATAAAAATCTAGTAAGTTTACGTTAAATTTTCCCTTTAAACAATTTTATAAATATTTTTCGATATTTTTCTAATTTCAGGGAAATTTCAAATTCCCTAGCTCCCATTTCTAATTTTACCTAATTAGCTCATAATTAAAAATCTAAACTAACCGGATTCTTGACAGGTTCTCGAATAGGTTTTTTAGTAAGTGGATCCTTATCAGTTAAATAAACATCAAGCATTTCCATATCATCTTCCTCGTCTTCTCCACTTTCTTCACCCATATCATTATTTTCTTGAGTATTTTGATGTTCTGGTTGTTGAATTATTTTTATATAATTTTTTAAACGGGAACTAATTTGTTCAATTTCTTGTTGATTTCTTCCAGGATTTTCTAATTCAAGAGATTTTCTACTTAAAAAATAAATATTCTTTTTAATTTTAAAGTAAAGCGGCCAGGAAGGTCAAATCGAACATTTAATAAATTTTAGCAAGGGTGGCGAAAAACTTTCACTTTTTTAGCCTCCCAATTTTTTCATTTTCCCCATTTCGCGGAAGAGGAGAAGGATTTCGGGATTCCCAGCCTTATAATAATTAAATAAAAAATTTTTTACATTTTCTTAAACTGCCCATTTAAAATCTTTTTGTCAGAATTGTCTTTAGAAAATTGTCGGTTTGTCTCATCAATTGCCCGTCTGTCGATATCCATATCTTTATCAAAATTTGAAAGCCGTCCAATAAGTGCTTCCATTCTTTTTAATTGTTCAATATTTTTACTTTTAGATAATAAATCAACAATTTTTGCACTAAAATTTTGTTAAAATAAATTAAATATTTTATAAATTAAAAAACCTATAATTAACTCCTTGCTCTATAAATTGAAACATTTCAATATGATCTGCTCCACGCTGTCCAGGAGGTATTAAAATATTATTTTGAGAAGGTTGTTGACGATTTCGTTGAGGTAATGATGCCCTGACATCTCGAAAGCTAAAATCAGCGTCATCATTACCTTCCTCCTCTTCTTCATCTATTTCCATTTCTTCCAAATCTTCTTCACATTCATCATCAATAAAAGCACGAGCCATTTATTAATCGATTGTATATCTAAAATAATATTTGAGATTGTTCCAAAATAGGAAAATAAAAATTAAAAAAATTTAAAAAACTATTTATTAAATGATCGCGATAAACATGCTGCACTGAAAAATATTCTTTGAAAAATATCAAAATTGGCAAAATGTAAAAGCGTTAATTTAAATGACTGAGACAATACTGTATCCTTTTTCGGTGAAAAAAACCGTTTTAACTCAAATAACCCTTAAAGTATTTCAACTTTTACTAAAGGTCGAATGTGATTTAAAGTTATTTAGTTAGGTATTTTATGCTATAGTTACTATACAATAGATATAATTTTATATGTACAGTATACAATAGAAACAATAAACATAATATAAACAATTATCACATAATTTTTTATTTGAACCCGTTGTAGACTTCATCTTGTCTGGTTTGTTCGAGTACTTCACGAATTTAGAGTAGAGCCAATAGTAGTGACACGAATAATCCGGGCTGTCTCCATTTTATACGGCGCTACTTGTTGAATGTTGAGGATTTCGCTGTCCTCGTTCACCTAAACAAAAAAAGTATTTTTCACTCAAACAGATGTGAAGAAAACGAACGATGGTCTCCACAACTGGATGACAATGTTGGCGATCTTTAGCTCTGCAGACACTGACGAATCGTTTATCCCTGTCGAAGGTTATTCTTAGACGAGCAGGGCAAGTACGACGACGGCCTTCAACAAACTGAAAATATTTTTTAAAAAATATTTTTCGAATTTCTTTGAATGTTTTTACCGAGCATGTCCAATATTCGACTGTGCCACTAACGTGAGGATGGCGTGAATTGATCCTCCAATTAGTTCGCTCCCCTGACGTCCACCATTGGTCGAACGCTTGTGTTGTTCGGAAGTTTCTAAGTTCCTCGTAGTGTGCTCGCCGTCTCACTCGCTCCCTTGCACGCACGCGGTGCCGAAACATTTTAGCCTTAAAATAAAAATATAGACAAAAAAATAATAAAGGTGTAAGAATAATTAACCTTTGCCGAATGTTGCACCGATGGATGAATTTAGACGAGTAGTGGATGAAGAATATTGACATTTTATTTTGGAGGATTTTTATACTAAAAATTTTTTAAAAAGTATTTTAATTAAATTTTAGTTAAAATATATAAAACATTTACTATTTACCATATATGCTCGAATAATTACCCTCTCTCAAATAATTACCCAATCTAGACAGAGGTTGAAACAATAATTACCCGGGTAGTTAAAATTAATTAAATATGTATTTCTTTAAGTAATATGAATTTATTTAGTTTGATAATCTTTTTAAATTAAAAAATTTACATAAAAGACATGCAAATCTAAAAAAAAGTTTATTATACCAAGCAATTAGTTAATTTGTCATTTTAGAAAGAAATTTTAGAAGGCCAATTAAAAAATTATTTTATTTTAATTTTTTATTAAAATTTTATAAATTATTTTTTAAATTTAATTCAAATATTTTTTGTCAAAAATATTTCAAAAATTTAAATAAAATAATTTAAATCAACGGAACTGATTAAAAAAAAACATTTACTAATCCGCACAAATATCTCATTTAGGTCAATTTTGATTTTTACTTTTTTAATCAAGGTGTAGCCGGTTATTTTGTTTGGTAGTTATTTTTTCTATAATCCAAAGAATAAACAGAATTATTTAAGTAAATGCCACCTTGAATATATTTAAAAATATTTTTTGATGAATTAATCCGGTATATAAATAAATAAATAATTATTTTATAATTAATACTTGAATATTAAAAATTATAGAAAAATTTTTTTGTACTTTCAAAATTATATTTTTATTTATTAATAATTTTTAAAGCAATTTTAATATGGAAATAGTATATAATTTTATTTTTCTTTTAAATTTAATTAAAATTATTTTTTGCTCATTTTGTGGGGAAACTTCAATTCCTTTTAGTTTAGAGGTTATAATTTATTAAAAATTCTCTACTAAATAATTTTCCCCGTTTTAATTAAAGATTTTATCTGACGGACATTTAATTCTCGGTAAAAATACATAGACATATTTTATTAAAAATATTTAATTAAAAAAAGGCTGTGCTAGACCAAATTGTTTTGGTTGGAATGCTTTTGGAAAACCTCAAAAATTAAATGATTCTAATTTTTATCGAGTAAATAAACAGCCTGATGGATTTTTTAGAAAATCATTTACTTCAACAATACCCAAACCTTTAAATGATTTTGAGGCTAGTTGGTATAAACCTCAAATTGCTGTAAGTTTAAAAAGAGAAATTAATTAAAATTTAATTTAAAGAATTGCCAAACTGGTTTTGGAAGTAGTCCTTGTAATAAATTAAATAATTGGGTTGGAGGGATTGGACCTTATTCTTCGAGTTTGAAAAATGGAAATAATCAAAAACCGTTTGTGTTTATTTTTGATAAAAATAAATATTTTCTTTTTTTCCAAATAGATTACTTCTTCGTTGTTGTCATTGGGATGGTTTAGTTAATTCTGAAGGTAATTTTTGAGAGAATATGTATGTAGATTTAAATTAATTAGATAGAGGTATTGCAAATATAAATCCAGGAAATATTATTTATGGTGGGGAAGTGTTTTTTGAAGATTCTTCTAATGATAATAAAAGGCAATATGCATTCGATTATGTTAGTGATATACGGCAAAATAATCGAGGGGAGGAAGGAGGGAAAGGGTAGGTTAATTAAATAAATTTATTTGATTAATTATCACTTCAAATAATTAATTATCACCAAATAATTTATTCAAAAACAGATCTACTAAATATCAAGTATTTATCCATCGAATGCCTTGTTTACCTAGACCAGAAAAACTTTCTTTGTCAGTAGATTTGGATGTAGCTAACCAATTAATTCATAAATTCGAATTAGCCTCCTCTACTTCAACAACAACAAATTCCCCTCTTTTTGTTTTTACAACAACAACTAAAAATCCTTTAAATAAACCAAAACAATTTAAAAACCAATTAAAATCTAACCAAAATAAATACAAAACCGAAGGGGAAAGTCATATAAATATTGAAGTTTATTTTTAATTTTCTTTTAGAAAAATTCTTTTTTTTGTAGACATATAAATTATCAGCAGCTCCATTATTAGAACATAATCCATTAATTAATGAACAAATAAATAATAAAAAAAACAAAAAAATAATTTTAGATAATGAAGTAATTGAAGGGCCTTTTATGGAAAATGAAATTGAGGAAAGAGAAGAAGAGAAAGAAAATAAAAAATTAAATGAAAACCAATTAAATTCCAAATCAAAACAAATAATTAACCAACAAAGGAAAAAAATTATTTGTGATCGTAACATGACCCGTCACAGTCGGTACAGGCGTCAGTGTGCGGTGAAATAAATTTTTACAATTTTTTTATTTAAAATCTGGTCCAAAAATAAAATACAATCAATTTAAAATATCTAGTTGAGGTATATATAAGAATGGAAAAAAAAGAAATCCTCAATTTACTCAATCTTGTTCCGACAAATATTTTTGTTAAAAAATTTAATTTTTAATTTTTTAATTTTAAAGGAAATAGAATTATCAGAAGATACCCCAGTCCAAATAATTGAAGATGAAGAACAAAATTACGGTGGGGGCCCTAATCAAGAATATTATGATCCTGGGGGTGGTGGCTACAATAATTATTATTATTACACAAAACCCGCTTCTTCCTATTTTCAATGTTTTAGTGGAGATACTAAAATACGTTTAGATAATGGAAAATTAAAAAGAATGGATAAATTGGCTGTTGGGGATTGGGTAATTAATTAAATTTGGAATTAAAAATAATTAGTATTTTTTTAAAAAGATTTATTCAACTAATCGTTCTCGAATTGTTTTGAGTAAAATTGAAAGGTGGATTCATAGAGTAGGTTTTATAAATAATTAATTGTTTTGTTAAATATTTTTGCGGATGGAATAACAAAAAAATAATGGAAAGTATGGGGTAGGGGGGGGGGAATGGAAAAAGGGAGGGTGATTGTAGTAAAACTTTTTTTAAATTACTCATTCATTACCTAAAGAATATTTATATTTTCAAAAGGTTCCAGAGCAGTTATCCAATTTTGTTCAAATAAAGCTTTTGGATGGCCGAATTTTAAAAATAACAGAAAAACATTTTATTTACGTTTATAAAGGAGGAAATTGTGAAAACTTTAAAAATAAAATAATTAATATAAAAAAAGTTTTTGATATTTCTTCTATTTTGTTTGCAAAAGATGTTAAAATTGGGGATTGTTTATTTACTGAAATTGAAGGAGGAAATGAACAAGTAATTCCTAGGAACTTTTTTAATAATTATTTTTTTTTAAAAGTCTTTATTAATTCAACCAATTATTTCAATTAAATTAATTAAAGAAAAAGGAATATTTGCCCCTTTAACTACGAGTGGGGATATTTTTGTTGAAGGAATTTTAGCTTCTTGTTTTGCTATTGAACAAAATTCTGTTCTTCAAAAAAGCATTTTTTCTGTAGGGGTTTTTTAATTTAAAAATAAATTTTTTTAAAAATTTAAGAATTGGCCATTATTTACAAAATTTTCTTCTCTTTTATTTAATTTATTTAATAATTACAACAATAATTTGGAAATGGTAAGGGAAAAATTTAAAAATAAAATTAATTTTAAAAAATTAAAAGATTGAAGAATTGCCAAAATGGGTGGATTTTATTGTTATTTATTTATTACCTATTGTTATACCTTTTAAATAAATTTATTTATTTAAATGTTTTGTTAAAAATCTAATAATCTCGTTTATAATTTACATTCTCGGGGGTTAAACAAATTTAGAAGATTTGTAGGAACTCTAAAATGTATTTAAATAAATAATTAACTACTCTAAATTACCTATATTGGGAGTATAATATAACGAGATTAGACTTGTTTATTGCTATTTTTTAGTTAAATTGTTTTAATCTTTTCATTTTTAATTTTGCTATTAATTTTGTTTTAATTATTAAAAAAATAAAAAAATTTTAAATAAAATATTTTAAACTTTTTATAAATTCAAAAGTAATTTTTTCTATCATAGATAGTAAATTAGAGTTGAGCTATAGGTATTTACTTCTTTAGCTAGTGTAAATGGCCATCCGGCGCTCTTCAGTTTATTTTTTATATATTAAAAACTCTAATTTATAATTAAAAATATTTTTGATTTTTAACTTTCTCTTATGTTTTGGGGATTTAATGGAGGATCTAATTCTTTTACAGTCGATTTCGTTATACATACTCTGGAATTGAAAAAAAAACATTCAAGCAAATATCACTACCAAATGGCCAGCCGCATTAGAAAGCTTATACTAAACTGATTTGTATACTTTGGATGTATATTATTATAACGAGATTTGACTATACATATGTATTTCCTTTTAGTTTTTGAATGTTTGTGTTATGATTCGTAAAATTTTTCAATTTAAAATACTCCAATTTAAGAGTTGGAGATATTTAGAATAAATGATTCTAATGTGTAAATTATTTTAACAAAGGATCTCTGGAAATTTCTCCTCATAGCGGGGACTGGCGGATATTCGCTTTTTTCGATGTTTCACCTCTCACTTTTTAAAATCAATGGATAAAAATAACAAATTTATAGTCAGACAAAACAATACAATTAATGGTGAATATTTAAGAAATATACAACAATTTACATAGTTATGTGAATATTAGATCTCTCATTCTATCATCTATTCTTCATTATCCCCCATCTCAACGAGAAGAAGCGGTGACCAAACTAGCTGCACGTTGCGTATCCAATTCTGTGCGAAGTTGCACTTCCTGTTCTCGAACCTCGTCCCAAGTCAGCCCAAACCAGCTGTCCATAGAAGTGAAGATTTGCTGGTGGAATTTGGCGTTGATCTTTCGGTGTTCCTGAAAGAAAAATGAAAATATTTATTTTGATTTTAGAATATATATTCTCTGATTATTCTAAAATAATCCTCAAAACTCACAAGCTCAACTAGTTTTTCAGCTCCCGGAAAGTGTGTCCTGACGTTAACTGTCACAACTTTGTAGACGCACATGCAGGGCTTACATTTCTCTTGCCAGTTGCCGACCAGAGGCCCTCTTTTTGCGCGTTTGGAACGAAACTGAAATTTGAAAAAAAATTATTTTTCAAAGATTTAAGCATTCTCACATTAGTATTGTCCTCCCCAATGTTCATTTTGACGATTTCACGGCGCTTCAGCATATCACTGCCCAGTCCCAAAGCCTGCAAAAATGGTCAGTTTAGAGTTAATGTGAAAAATGTCTAATAACAAACATTTTCATCTTTTCCTCTATTGTTGTCCAAACAAAGTGTCTCGAATCGGATGCTGAACTTTTCCCGATTTTCGTCCCATTCAGGAGCGTAGAGTTCTGTCAGTAGATATGGAAAGCTGTTCCAACTATGCTCGTGAATCCGGGTGAGGCCGTTCGGTACAAATGGTCGGACAAATGATGGAATTTTACTGAAAAAGAAAAAGAGATGACTTGAGCTTTCGAGCAAATTTTCTTAAAATAAACTTACGATCTCAGGTGGTAGATTTTGTGGGTGAACTGCCCTTCATTGTAGCGCCCGTGACAAAGTGGAATGTTGTCGAATGGCTCGTCTTGCAGAATTTCCACTCCTTCTCCTTTGTGTGTTTGCTAAAAATAATGAGAAGTTTAGTTTTGAACAACAGAAAGTAAAAATAAAATTTTACTTTTCGAGCCGTCTCCATGTAGGCAAACGCCCGTCCAATCTGGAACTCTGCTGTAGTCATAGGCATCACTATCCTGTACTCGCGAACAAGCATTGCGGCTGGCGATTGAAGTGTAGACGAGCAGGCGAACACTGAGCAGGCGCACACTGAAGTAGATGAGCAGGCAAACACTGAGCAGGCGAACACTGAAGGTAGCAGACAATGAGCACAAACCCCAACAGAGGTGTTTTGTGAGAGCGTTAATCATTTAAAGTTTGTAAGGCTTTTATACTCTAGAAAATTTTGAAAAAAATTAATTTACAACGGAACCCAATTTTATATATTTTATTCGGCGCTCTCCCAGTTCGATTTCTAAGATCGATTCCTTAAAATTTAAATATTATTTATTATTTAATTGGGTTTAATTTAAATATTAAAAATATTTTAAAAAATTTAGAAATTTTAATTAGAAAAATTTAGAAAAAAAAACTTTTTTCATTAAAAGAAATAAAATTAAAAAAAAGAATGCCCATGGCAGGAATCGAACCTACGTCGTCTCGGCCACAACGAGAAGTACTAACCACTATACTACATGGGCCGAAAGAGAACCTTTTTATTTTCTCTTTTGACTCTAAAAATAATTTTATATTAAAATTATTCTTTGTAAAGTTTTCTTATTTTAGAAATTTTTTAAAAAAATTAACAAAATATTAAATTTAATTTAGAAAAATATTTAAAATTTTCAAAACCAACCAACTCCAAACCCTTCCCCTTCAACACATAAAGATCCATTAAAAGCAACATTTTTAGCTTCAAAAACACTAAAACGTTCAGAGACCTCTTCTGATTGATATTCTACAGGTTCTGATTCTCCAGTAATTGAAGAAGCTTCCAAACGAAGTTGAATACAATGCAATAATCTTTTTATACCTTAAATCAGCAGGTACCAGTGCTGGGCTATATTTAGTTATTTCTCCCCTTTAGCTAGTGCAAAATGAAACAAGCATCTTCAGTTGATGCTTGTGTACCGCCTAGGAAATAAATAGTTCTAATAATATCTGAAAGTGACTTATCTATAGCAACTTTGCCAATAATTATTCGATTCCAATGATTTTACATATTATTAAAGTTTCATGTATAACGTATTTCGAAAACAAAATTAACTTCAAAATATTTTTAACTAATAATTTCCTCTCAATTTTATTTTTTTCTTTAAATTATTAATAAAAATACATCCAATATCCAATAAATTCTCCTTCCTATAAAAATTATATATTTTCAATTTCTGTTCTTTTTTTATTTATTTTTCGCGCTTTAAAAATTTATATTTTTCAAGGGCTTGTTTCTTTCTTTCTTTTTTTTTATTTCTTTTCTACTTGTTCCTGCTTCCGCTTTCCCTTTCTTTCCTTTTTTTGATCGGCTAATCGACAAACCAAGAATTCTTTAAATATATTCTCTTTTAGTTTTTTGATTCTTTCGTGGTCATCCATCTGGAACTGGATATATTTAAATAAATAAATATTTATTTTTAAAATTTATTTTTTAAAAAGAAAAATGTCTTCTTCAAAAATTTATCCTTTATTACCTAATAAACAACAAAAATTATTTTCTTCTAATCCCCCACCTTTACCTTCAACAATTTTTATTTCAAAATCAGAAAAATTAAATGAAAATAATAAAATAAATAAATTAAAATCTAATAGATTTCCCCCAATTTATTTAAAAAAATCAGACCAACCAGAATTGGAAGTTAAAGAATTATTGAAATTAAATCCTTTAAATCTGTAAATATTTAGTAATTTTTAAAAAATAAAATAATTTTTAAAAGTTTTTTTCTTGGATGTATTCCTCCCTTTTTTGGAGCTTTTGGTTCAATAATAACAGCATTAATTGTTCATAATGATGAAATAAGGCTAGAAAAAATAATTATTTTTTAATTAAAAAAATATTTTTAGTAATTATAATTGGCAATGCGGGGTATTTCTCTATAATTTTGAAAAAAATAAAAAAAATTATTTTTAAATGTTAGAGAGCTCGATTACCTTCACTTTCACGTATTATAAATCTTCCTATGGAAAGTAAGTTTAAAAATACCTAAATTATTTAGAAATTTAAAAAGAAAAATATTGGAATTAAAGACCGTATTGGGAGTGTAGTAGAAGGGAGGGATATCTCGATAAATATCAACCTCTCTAACTAAAATTTTTCTTCGAGATTTTGTCTCCATCCAGCCTCTTTAATTAGAACGGTTAAATTATTTTAATTCAAAGGGAAGGCTTACAATTATTTAATTTTCCCCTTTTTCAGGAATTTTTTGGCAATTTACTTTTCTTTTTCACATTCCTTTAAGAATTGTAGAGATAGCTGTTGGATGTAAAATTATTCATTTTATTTTCTAATTTTTAATTTCAAAAAAAAGTTTATCGTTACGACCGTCTTCGTTTAATTAATTGTAAATGGCCAAAAATATATAATTTAAGTAGATATTTATATTTAATATTTGGATGTTTGGAATTAATTTTTTTGATTGCCCTTTCTGTTGTTGGAGAAAGAGAATTTATATGTAAAATTTAATTAAATTTAAATTTTAAATTTAATTTTATTTAAAGCTTATCATGTTGTTTTCTTTTATGCTTTTGGAGGTTTTGCTACTGGATTTCTTATTACAAATGTTGTTTGTCATTCACAATCCCTTTATTATTTAAATCCTTATGTAAATAATTTTTTGTAAATTAATTTAAATTTGAAGTTAAATGAAGTTTAGTATATTTCGAGAATTAAGGGGAATAAACACTTTGTTAATAAGACACAAGTATTTCGAGTTTTCGATTGACTCAAAAAACTTTCCCCAACAATTTATCTAAATTTAATACAATTAAAATAATTTAATAATTAATTTTAGGGAAGAATTTCCTATTATATAAAAATAATAGTAACAATTCTTTTTATTATTTCAATGCCTATTTTGTTTGGTGCTTTTATTTTATATTGGAGGAAATGCATTACTATAAGTAATTTAAATTTAAATACTTATTTAGTAAATATAGAAGGTCCTCATTTGTATTTCACCACATTTGTGTCCGGATATCCAGAAATTATCGCTTTTGTTAGCGATTCCGTATCCGGACATTCGGGGATTCCAGTATCCACTAACCCAAAATCACAGTCCCTTTATCGTCATTTTGTTCTGGGTGATGTTCTGATTCAAATTAATTTAATTTCTAGTGTATGATGTATTTGCTATAGCCGAATATATCGATGTTTTCCTTACAATATCTTATCATTGTTGTGCTTTTTTTGATATTCGTCATAAAGTTATTTTCAGTATTAGAGATGTTAAGAAGAAAATAAATTAAAAAAAGAAAAAAGAATTTATTTTTATAAAAAAAAATATTTATTTATTTCAAATTATGCACACAAAATTGTTGGAAATTATTTTTGTAAATTAAAAAAATTATATTTAAATTTATTTTTTTCCATTCTTTTTAGAACTTGTTTGGATTAAATCGAAGTATTTTAAATTAAAACGTAAATTTTTCTAAAAAAATAAATTTAAATAATTCCATTTATTTTCCTCAAATTACTAGAATTGTTGGCGACCGGTTTTGAATTTTAATTAAATTTTAGTTTCTTTTTAAGGAATTTTTTAATCATTATTCGTTTTTAAAAATTTTCGGTCTTTATAATTTCATAAAAAAGGTTATTAAAGTTTGGCAAGATTAATTAATTATTAATTAATACAAAACATTAATTCTTGCTAATTAATGCTTGGCAAGAAATATCAAAATTTTCGATACGTCAACAACTCCCAATTAATTTAAATCAGGGTAGCTCCCCGGACCTTCGGGATCTAATGTGTTTTGTCTGCTTTTTGGTTTTGAGTTTTTAGTTTTTTTAACCAGTTTCGAGTCTGGTTTTTGTCAAAAAATAGTTGGGGTCGGAGTACGAGGAGCTACCTGCCCTAATTTAAATTACCATTTAAATAATCTAACAATTTTATTTTTTGGGTAATGTCTAATAAAATATTTTCTTATTTCATTATAAACATTTATAAAAATTCCAACAGCAGCAACAACAACCCAACATTGCCAAGGAATTGCTGCTCCTCCAAGAAATTCATTTAAACCGGGCAAATAAACATAACAATTAATTAATATCAATTCAATTATTAACGCTTTAATTAATGCTTGATTTGAACAAAATCCGTGTCTAAAAAGGGAAATTCTTCGAGTCCTGGCACTCCAAATATTAAAAAATTGTCCAAAAACAATTCCCATTTGCCAAGCACTCGTTGCCTGTCTTCCAATTAATAATTGTTGTTCAACAGAAAATTCATGTCCGTTACTTTTAAAAATATCCCCTCCTTTCTTCCAACAATTTAATGCCGAAAAAGGCAAATCTAATATATTAATTCCTTTACACCAAAAAACATAACAATAAGCTAGAAAACATCCAAGAGACTAAAAAATTAATTAAGTATAAACACTTTAAATATTTACTAGGATTGGACATGACCGGTTAATTTTTGCTTGTAGCGGCTCAAATGCTTTTATTCTTCTCTATTTGAGGCGTCACAAGCAAAAATTACCGGTCCTGTCCACCCCCAATATTTACTTGTATTTGTCCAGTATAAATATACGAATAAGCCAGTAATCCATTAGAAATCAAAACTTTGTTTACAGCTCTAGGGGGTCTAGCCATTACATCCCCCTCCGGTTTTTCGTTTGCCAAAGAAATTCCGGGAAATATTTCTGTCCCCAAATCAATTGATAAAATCTTTGGAAAAATTAAAAGAATATTTTTTTAATTTTAATTCATTAATTACTTGTAAAGCAGTTATTCCAACAGGCATTCCAAAACAAAAATTAATTATTATTGGCCAAACTTCTGGGAATGAATGGGGCATTGTATAGGCTAATAACTTTAAACAAATAATTTTTAAATTATTTAATTAATTAAATTACTTTTTTAATATTTTCATACATTGCTCTCCCTTCTTTTACAGCTTGAACAATTGAAGAAAAATTATCATCCTTTTAATTTTAAATTAAAATTCTCTCCTTTTTATTTCCAAAAAACTTACAATTAAAACAATATCGGCAGCCTGTTTAGCTACTTCACTCCCCGAACCCATTGCAATTCCAATCTCAGCTTTTTTCAGTGCTGGGGCATCATTTACACCATCACCCTTTATTTAATTAATTAAATATCCCCCCTCCCCTCAATAAAAACTAACAGTCATTGCAATTATTTGTTTTCT